ATAAATTTTTTTTTTTTTTTTTTTGGTACCAGGGATCGAACTCGGGTCCTTGCGCTTGCTTGCAAGGCAGGCCACCAAACTGCTGAGCTAAATCCCTGGCCCCTGAACTTACAGTTTTACCCAAAGATCTCCATTTCTTTCCCTAACAAATGGTATGATGATCTGCTAAATTCCTCAGACAACAGAAGCAATTCTTGACAGTTTTCCTCTCTTCTAAATTAACCAAATTGTTTGTTCATTTCCACCTCTTAATATTAGTCTTTAGAGTTTCTTCCTGCCCCTTTTGTTCTATGTTTGATTAACATGGAAAAATCCATGAAGACCCTTGTATTAATAAATTAGGTTCTTTATGTACAGATGTAAAAGATTTTTTAAAGTGACTTTTCAGGATGAAGCATATTAATAATAGTATGCTGGTATCCCACAGAAATACCTTGTTTTGTTAAAAATGCATATCTTTTGATATCTGTAAGTACTTGAACTTTATAGCAAGCTTAAAAACAAGAACTTCTCTGAAATCTCAGTGATATTGCTAGTAATTAAAATGCAAAGCAAGCCTAATTTTCATTCATTCAGTCAGAGCAAATAACAATCTTTGAGTAGTCAATAAAATATAACAAATACCAATACATTCCTTTACAGGTAGTTACAATATATGTAGACAAATCTGTACACAAACTGGTACAAAAAGCCTAGCAAAATCATAAATTAGAAATAATTCTAATACTATATACATGCAAGCAGTTAAAGTGGATATTACATTTAATATAAGTTCATAGGAAGCTATAGAAAAAAATCAAGTGCTTATCAGAAGGATGAAACAATCAACAAAAATATCCATGAAGATTATAAATGCTTAAATCTTCATGATCAAAACATGAAACAGCCGGGGATTTAACTCAGTGATTCCGTGGCCTGCCTTGCAAGTGCAAGGACCCGAGTTCGATCTCCGGTACCCTCCCAAAAAAACAACATGAAACATTATCTTTAAAGCCACCATAATTTCACCTCAGAAACCTGAAAACTTGTTACTTGAATTCATAACTTTTTAAAAACCACTAGCACTCTGAGTTAGAAACTATCAACACTGCCTTCAATCAATTAGTAATTCTTAATACCATCAAAAGACATTATTGTGGAAATTTAATGACCATAAATGTCCAAAAGCAAATAAAGTCTGATTTCTTGGGGAAGATGCATAAGAATCAGAATTTTTCATAGTCCATATAGATGTTTGTGTTTTAGAAGAGAGAATAGAGTGGCTTACAGAGCTTTTTTCAAATATAGAGATAAATACTCCTATTTTACGTGGTCCTCTCCATCAGGATGCTTTCCTTCTGTACAAAAGTGTACTCTGGAAGCAGGTGTGGAAATTTCTCAGGCAACAGTAAGAACCTTATTAGAGATATGGTGGACCCTGGTACCTTTAATCCATAATTTTTGGCAACTTCTCTGGGGGATAGTAAGTAAATACTTCTCATAAACTGTTACTTACAGTAATTTATTTTCACTAGATTGCTAAATTCATTGGGAATAAGGAATATATCATTCTCACTTCACAATTTTTTATCAAATGTCACCATTTACTGTCAATATATTTACGACAACTTTAGATTTAATAGAAATTTTGACAATCTGCTTATGCATAGGAATATAGTAATATCGTATTAAATTAGAGTTATTTTCTTTTTGCCTTTTTTAAAATTAAAAGTGCTCTTTCAGATGTGATCTAGGAGTGTTTTGTTAAGAATCTATTAGGAGGGCTGGGGATTTAGGTGAGGGGTTCTGCCGCCTGCCTTGTGAGCACAAGGTCCTGAGTTCGATCCCCAGTACCAAAAAAAAAAAAAAAAAAAA